GCCTTCTGGGACAATGTGGTTCGTGAGAGCTTCGGAGGTGGAGGACCTAGGGGTTGGTAACTGGCGGAACAGCTCTGCATTCCACGTGAATGCGCGCCCACAGCCTGTAGCCGGCGGACTCCAGGAGCACGCTTCACATCGTGTGATCACGCTACACCCATAAACACACGGAAGTGTTGATTTCCAATTTGAAAGAGAAAAAAATTTAGTGTCAGAGAAGGATTAAAACCTGGAAAAAATAACAAAAAATAGTAAGCTAAATGTTATTGTTCAGATTTGTAATTTTCTGCTATTCATATATAGTATTATAAAAGGATAAAAATTACATAATAAATCAATGTAATGGAAACAAAGCATAGGAAGGTGTACTTTATGACAAGAATATGGTGAAGAGGGTGGATGTAACTCGATAGGATGCAGATTTTTGTATAATATCGAATCATCTTTTTCATGTCACAATACACAAGTTGAGCTACTGTCAGCTCTCCAGATCCTGGTCCTGAGTGTGCAGTGCACCTGAGGATTTGGGTACCTCAGCAGCCACGATCACCACCACCAATTAAATGTTTGTTTTGCAGCACTATGGATTTACCTGGGTTTTGCCTATTAAGTTACACATTCAACTCTTTTTTGTTGTTGTTGCTGTTGATACAGAGTATTGGTATGCAGCTTAGTCTCGTAGTGATCCTCCTGTCTCCGCCTCTACAGAGCTGGGATTACTGGAGTGTGCCACCACACCGGGTTTCAGGGCTAGCTTGGTACACCTAGAGTTCCAGGACTGGCAAGTCGTGCAATACCAGGGATCAAACTCGGGACCTTGCACTGTCCAAGAGGGCACTTAGCCCACAGAAATATCGCCCCAGCCCTTGTTTATTTTCACAGCAGATGGGTTTCCAGCTGCCTGGACTCTGAGAAACAAATTTCTATTCCTTATGAATTATCTACTGTAAGATGCTTGTAGTAATGTCCCAAAGTGAGGAACACACCCTGTATATGGTTCTTTGGAATATTTGTCAGATTCATGACTGTGATGAATTTGGTTTGGTTTCTCCTAATGTTTGAATAAAATGTAGGAAAATAGGATGAGTTTAGAGATTTGAGTTGCGGTCTTAATACCTGAGCAAATAACCCAAGGGCTTCCGTGTCTCTCCTGAAGGAGGCTCTTACCTTCTGCCCTTAGAATATGTGATTAAAAATACAGTGTATGTTTAAATTTGGAAACAAATATATGAATGCTGCACTGCCATTAACCCCATAAACTACTGCTTCCTCCCCCCAGATGTGTTCATCTCATCCTTCCTGCCCACCTCTTTCTTATGTCCTTGTGAAAGTCCTCTTGAATGAGCACCTTTTTATGGCTTCCTCCATGTGCAGCATGGATACAAATGAAAATTGTTTCTCATCCTCCCTGTTTACCAGATCTGTCACCTTGCAACTTCTGGCTTCTTCTGTTATCAAAATGGCCATGAAAGGTGAGGTCACATCAAGTACAGAAGAAAGAAAATTAAACTTTCAGATAAAGAAAAGCAAGATTTAGGTGCCTTCCCTGGTGAATTTATCCAAACAAATGGCTCATAGTAACATAAAATGATAGCCCAGAAGAAACCACTAATGTTTTTCTTTTCCACATTCCTTCCATATCCACTGTCATAAACCTCTGCATACTTGGAACTCACATCAACTCATACTGATTCTTGCATGGTTGAATGGACCGGAAGTGGGTCATAATCTCAGGAAGCTGAAATTCATGCTCCGTCAGGACCGTGGTCCCTCCCACATCTCCAGAGGTCTCCATTTCCTGCCCCTCCATCCACCAGAGGCCGCCAGCTTCCACAGCTGTGGTCGCATCACTCAGGCTCTGTGAAGCGGCTTTGCCAGCTCCCTGTTGTCTGTGGCTGAACATTTCAGACTGTTTCACAGAGACAGGTAGGTTTCCTATGTGGGCCTGTGCCATAAGCCTGGTGGTCTCTCTGAATATCCTGCAGTTCCTGCTGTTTGCCTAGCGCCTTGGGCCACAGGGAGTGAGTGAGTAATATCAAAATGTTAGGATTTCAGATTTAGTATGTTGGTTATTGGAGCCCATCATGGACCTACTTCAAGGAACACTTGAACTGCACTGTCTGAAAATTATGTGACTCAAAAAGATTCTAAATTCAGTACCTAATATAAGAATTAGGAATAATTCCATGAGAACAGTCACCACAGGCACGAGAGTGAATGTGAACAACTTGTGCCAGAACACACAATGTGCTTCGGCTTTGTAGACTACTGAGCTCTCTGAGAAGATCAAAATGCAAGATAAAAGGTTGCCCTTTTGGTAGCACACCGAATGTAGTTTGTTTTCTACTGATAAATATCATTATGTGCACTTGCAACATGCTCCTTTAAAATCATTTCAATCAAGTATATGCTTTGCGAGTTTGTATGAATTGTCAGTTATTCCCAGGGATGGAGTCTTTCATTATTTCATCTCTAGTGTGTCTTTATGAATTACCAAACAGTAGTTAAATGATATTATTTGTCACTTAGTGAGTTAGACATTTTAAGTAATAATAAGGAGTGGTTTGAAATAATCTCTCTGATGATGGGATTTTCAGGAAATCATTTTGTTTGTAAGGGTGGACGGAGAAAAATGCTTCGGCAAATCACAAAGTAAACACTGTCTCTTCAAGTGTGCTGGACGTTGATCTGGAAGGTTCTTCTGAAAAACTCCCTGTCACTGCCAGTGACTCCAGGGATCTGCATGTTGGAGCAACTAATATCAAAGCTCAAGGGGCTAGGGCGCTATCTCGGCCGTGGGAGCGCCTCTCTGGCAAGCACAAGGACCTGAACTCCAGCCCTGGCACCGCATGCTGTGCCGGGCATGCCATGCCGGCCACCAAACCTGGGCGTGGTGGTGCATGCCTGTAATTCCAGCGCTGGGGATGCTGACAGGAGGATCATTACAAGTCCGAGCTGTGTAGCAAGACCCTGTACCAAATAAATAAAAGGTTAATTTTTTTTAAGCTCATGTACTCTTTCACACACTTAAATATTTCCAAGGAATCTGCAGTAATGGTTCCCTAGGGGCTCACACCCTCCCTGGGGAAGGCAATGAGCAAGGCGTGGGCATGGGCAGCAGCCACGGGCTGACAGCATCGCAGAGGGAGACCTAGGAGGAGGGCTGTGCTTGATGACCGCGGACTGAGCAGTGACAAAGGTGGACCGGGAAGGACTCCATGACGGGGTCCCAGTGAGTCGGAGCCCTGAGAGGGGGAGAAACCCATGCGGGGACAGCAGGGACAGAGGGCCTGTGGTGTGGGCCTGGCTGACTTTGTAAATAAATGGCCCTAAAAATCAATAGAAAAGAAGAGTGGAAAGGCAGGAGCATGCAAGAGAGACTCTAACTAAGCTAAAGTAGAAATGAATGGCAAGTGCTACCCCTTAAAGACCATGCAGAGAGAGAAGTGTACAATATTATTAGCTTTCAGTTTAAATTTTAAACTAATGCAACAATACATGGATATATTAAAGACATGACTATTTTCTGCATCTTCGATTTTGGCCTTTGATTTTGTGTTCTTTAAAAATAAATAAATAAATTTGGTACTTCCGAAAAAGAGAAAATTAAAATATGAACATGCTGGATATATAAAATGATGTAGTAAAGGATGAGCATTAACTCACCTCAGGTGCAGGATTTACACATTTCTCATTAAATAAAAAGAAGACCTGTCTTCTGATTTAATGTATAACATGTTCTCTCAAATTAGGACTCTAAAAATGTCACCAAAACCTTAGAGAAATCTTTTCCAAGATGGTACACTATCACCTAAGTCAGACATTAAATTACAATTTTTGAACCATTCCATCACATTCGTGCTTCTCACATGAATTAGAATCAACGTAGCAGGTATAGATGTGGAAGAACACTCTTATCAAGGGAATCATGGTATTATGTTTTTAATGTATTTGGTACAAGGTCTGCAGCGTGCTCAGAATCTCACTGTGTAGTTTGGACTCTTAGTGACCCTCCTGTTTTCAGCCGCCCAAGCACTGGGATTACAGGCACGCACCACCACCATGCTCAGTCTTCATTGCCATCTCAGTGTGCCGTGGGGCAGAGCCAGCACAGCATGCAGGGGATCGAACCCCTGCTGCTGCACTCTGCCTAAGCGGGCGCTTTAGTCTGCTGAGCTATCTGGCTGGCCCTAGGAGCATCATGGTATTGACAGAGAGGCTGGAAAGTCCCTTGATGTTCTGCCAGCAATACTGAGGGCAAGGATCTCAGGGGGCTCCCTGAGGCTGAGACAAAAGCCTGAGACAGAGGAGGGGGCTGGGCCTAGGGTGAGTGCGGAGACCAGAGATGGGAAGAGGCGCAGATCATTAGCTGATGTCTAAGAATGTCAAAGCGAGGTTGCTGTAAAGGGGAGAGAGAGATAGGGAGAGACGGAAGAAAGGAGAGAGGGAGGGAGGGAGGGAGGGAGGGAAGGAGGGAGGGACAGAGATACCAGAATCTTTGCAAACACTCATAGACACACTGAAAAATTAAAAGAATTTTCCTTTTACCTGAGTATCTCATAATACAAAGAAATAAAGGCATAGAGTTAACTGCCACAAACAGCACCTTGCACTCAAGGCAAGTGCAACCTACCGCATCCATTTCTATTTATCATCATGAGATTTCTGTGGCCATCCCTTGCATGGACGGGCAGCTTTGAGCTCGTTGTACAGATATTTACTGTGATAGAAAAGTATGAAAAAGAACACCTATATAATGCATGGGTACATCCTTGTCCTTAAATATGGTTTACACAACAAACATTAGGGTATTTTAAGCATTCTTACTCTATATTTATTTCTGGACAAGTAGCTTTTTTAGGTCAAAATAATTTTACACAAGTGAAAGAATTACTTTAACAATTTTATTTAAAAATAGCCCTCAAAATATAACACCATTCATGGAGAACTGAAAGAAAAAACCCAGAGATGTCTTAACCTTCAAACCAAAAATCAAAATCCTACACCTTATTGGGCCTCCACCTAATGAGTACACTCTTGACTTTTAAGAAGGCGCTGTTCACCTCCTTGTTCCTCAGGCTGTAGACTACGGGGTTCAACATGGGGATGACCATGCTATAAAACACGGAGGCGATCTTGTCTGTGTCCATGGAGTGGCTGGAGCTGGGCTGCAGGTACATGAAGACGGCGGTGCCGTAGAAGATGGAGACGGCGGTGAGGTGGGAGGCGCAGGTGGACAGAGCCTTGTGGTGTCCTGTAGCCGAGTGCATCCTCAGGATGGTGCCAAAAATGAAGATGTAGGACGTTGAAATAAATACAACAGCCAAAAAGATATGGAAGCTCACAACGTAAACAACCACCAGCTCATTAGCCTGTTTGTCAGAGCAGGCCAGAGCCATGACTGGTGGAATATCACAGAAAAAATGATGGATCATATTGGAGTTACAAAAGGAGAGACTGAAGGTTTCCCCAGTGTGGATGCAGCCATTCAGGAAGCCATTGACATAGCAGCCTATGAGAAGAACCACACACACACTGGCCCTCATGGTGGTGCTGTAGTGCAGGGGTCTGCACACTGCCGCGTAGCGGTCATAGGCCATGGCAGCCAGCAGGTAATTTTCCACACAAATAAGGGTTGTAAACAGGAACATCTGAGCAGCACAGGCATTGTAAGAAATGACCTTGTTTCCTGTAAGCAGTCCAGCCATGACCGTGGGAGTGACAACCGAGGAGGAGCAGAAGTCCACCAGCGCCAGGTTCCCGAGGAAGAAGTACATGGGGCTGTGCAGACGCAGGTCCAGCAGGATCAGCAGGACCAAGCCCAGGTTCCCAAGTGCAGTGATGGCGTAGATGAGCAGGAAGGCGAGGAAGAGGGGCAGCCGCAGGAGGGGGTCATCGGTCAGGCCCAGCAGGAGGAAGGCAGCCACCTCTGTGCTGTTCTCCATCAGAGCTGTCTGAGAAGCTCCACATGCTCTGAAGCAGTGAGACAGAAGACCATAAACACAGAGGCACTGAATGAAGCCAGAAAGTGAAGCACTACCCTAATAATCACGCAGATGCTCAACGGCAGTCTCTGCACCCGCTCTGCATGGTAACCTATGCTCAATAGGCCCTACGTCTAAGAATTTTAAGTAAATCCAGGTCAAACTGAAATGAATTGTATTTCTAATAACTCATTTTCTCATTTCTTTCTAACTCAGTGTTCAGTTTTCATAGTGATCTGACCTACTAGTTATGTTTTAATTTCATCAGAGGCCAAAACTGACCCAAAAAACCCTCAAAAGGATAAAATGATCATTTCTTTAATGAGAAAATCTTTCAGTGAGTTCACAAGTTCTGAGCAAAGCTGGCAAGCTCTCCTCGCCACCCATGCTTGTTGTCACCAGCACGTCTCCTCTTGCTGACCGTGGTACAGTGGGCAGCACGGCTCTGGGTCAGGCTGAGGGGGAGTCTGACTCCCGCCATCCCAGATCATCTGTGTGCACACTGGGGTGGTGTGATAGCAGGGTACAGCACACTTGCTGGCGTAGGGAACTGTGAAGGACACAGAAGAGCAGGAACAGCAGCCCAGAGGGCACAGGGCCTCCCAGGGGACACAGGTCCGCCCTCATAGCTACACCTAGCCGTTGTCATCCTCCACGATCTATGGTGACCGTGATGTTGCCATCAGCTAAACCAATACAGATACGGATAGCCAATGCAGCAACAGCAAGCTCTGAAAGCTAGCCAGTTCCGGGCTATGCTTCACTCATAAGTGTGTCTTAGAATCAAGTTGCTCGTTCACTTATTTGAATCTCTTCTTGTGTCCTAATCATGTTTAAGATTTCTTTATGTAAACTTCAATCTTTTTTCTTATGTATTTGGTGTAGGGTCTCATTACATAGCTCAGACTCGTGGTGATCCTCCTGTTTTCAGCCTCTCCAGCACTAGAATTATAGGCATGCGCCACCGCAATCAGTCTTGGTGGCTGGCTCAGCGCACCGGGGGTGGGGGAGGGGGCACTACACTGTAATCTTTTGAAGAACATTAACCCAAAACTAATTATTATCACTTCGCATCCTTTTCTAAGTGTTTGGTAAACTAAATTTATGAAGCAGCCCCGTGAAGACAGTCTTTCTCAAACTTAACAAGCATGGCTACTTTTCATGTACATTATGTTCTAGAACACATAGTAAGCAATGT